TCTTTCCTGCCTATGCAGGGGGTTGGACTCGATGATCTATTGAGGTCCCTTCCGACCCTAACACCTAACAACATCTATGAAACAGCTGCAGCGGATAAAGTGCTACATTTTGACAGTGCTTCAACTGTTCATCTCCCCGCATGCTAATTTGGAGATTTGCACTGAGCAAATCTTGTTTGAACAGGAAAATCCAGATACCTCTTTTCCATTTGCAACATCACTTCCTCCTGACCACTTGTGGCAGCTTGCACTTTACTGACAAAAGTCAGTGAACTGACCTGCTTTTGTATTTCTTTACCTCTTCACATAAGGCTTGTGTTGGGGTACTGTTCTACCCTTCATTCGTTGCAGTGCTCTGACCCTGGCTAGAAAGGTAGCATTCTTTTAAAATATCCCATCATTTTAGTATCAAAAGGTAAAGCTCAGTGGGAACTCAGCATAGCAGGCCGGTGATCAGAGATTGCTCATCTTTACAAAGTACCCCTAAGGACACACTGGATGCATCTACACTTGTACATTTACTATGGAGTAATTTAGGCTACTGCACAATAACTGAACATTACTGCACAGTACGGGTATGTGTCTACACATGCACAGCCATACAGCGCAGGAACTATGGTGACTTATGCCGATTTGGGTGTAAATTTTATATCGGCATCATGCAGGTATAAAATTTACACCGGATTAGTTACTGAGCAGTAATACACATGTAGACATCTTTCTACACAGTAACACTGTGTGGACTTAGTCCCCAGTTAGTCCACACACAGCATGACTGCACTTTAATGGCTGCATGTGTAGATGCTGGCCTAAAAACCACTTACTGTGCAGTAACTTACTGTGCAGTAGGTTACTGTGTAGTAAATGCACATGTAGACGCATCTACTGAGCTGTTCCTTTCACTCAGTAGCCTACACAGTGCCCAAGGACCAAATGCATTCCCAGGCTGTGGGTCTGTCTATATGCTGTTGCTGAGGCCTTGCCCCTGGCCCACTCTCTAGCCTAACCCAAACCTACCAGCCATCTACATTAGCCAACTTCCCCTTCCCTCCAGCTGGTCCTGCATAGCACCCCAGCTTGTTTTCCCCCTCTGTCCCTCTGGCAGCTCTCCTGAGCTTCAGGGCCAAGCTCCGCTCCTCCCCACACCCTTTGGCATGTATTCACCATCACAGGGACTGAGCAAGATGGAAATTAACAAAATTCACCAGTGAATGTTCTGCCTTTGCCGCCCCCCGCCAGCCTTCCTGTTTCTGTTGCCTGTAATTAGAGCTGGCACAGAAGAAGAGACAGAACAAGGAGCAATGGTCTCAAGTTGCAGCAAGGAAAGTTTAGGTGAGATATTAGGAAGAATTTTCTCACTAGGAGGGTAGTAAAACACAAACTAAAGAGTCATGGTTCGGCCTGTATTGACTATGGACAGAGCAAAAACCCACTCGGAGCAGGTTAATCAGAGAGGTGGTGGAAGCTCCCTCCTTGGATGTTTTCAAAACCCAGCTAGACAAATCTTTGGCAGGGATGATCTAGTTGGGGCTGGTCCTGCTTTGAGCAGGGGGTTGGACGAGATGACCTCCTGAGGTCCCTTCTGACCATTGGCGACACGTAGGGGGGGCACACAGGTGCATGTGCATGTGCATCTCCTGAGATTGGCCATGCACCCCTTGGAAACCCAGCCACAAAACCAGAAGTGCCAGTGGACACCCCGCCCAATTGGCGATCAGTGGCGGGGAAGCCCTGTCGGCGATCTGGTGCCCCCCAGACTTGGGAGGCACCAGTCGCCGATACCAACCATGAATGACTCGTGCCTCCTGAGGCTGGAGGGGGTCACGGCAACTGCCCGCAGGCGGTGGTGGCAGGGTGAGCAGGTTCCACCTGCAGGCAGCCCTGCCTATGTCAGCAGCAGGGCAGGAAGGGTAGGGGGGTGGAGAGGTGACTTCCCGCAAATGCTGGTGGCAGCGTTGGCAGTGGCCAATCGCAGGGGGGCCACGTGCACCTGCGTGCACCCCCTATGCGTTGCCCATGCTTCCAACCCTAACTTCCTATGTTTCTGTGATTCCAAGAACACTCAGCCCCGAAAAACTGTGTATCCGAGTCGCCTCACGTTCAATTTTAGGAGGTAAAAGGGGGAATTGGGAATTGAAGCCGGATCTGTCTCCACTTATGGGTGAGTATTTTGGGCCCTGGAGGAAGAAAGAAGTTAAAAAAAAAAAGTGCTTTACTGGATGAGACAGTGCGTTAGTTCGATCCAGCTCCTCACCGTCTGTATAGATCAAGTGCTTCAGCGGGACTTTTTGGTGCTTTTATCTAAGAGCTGCTCCATCAGTTGTTAAAGCACCAAAAAAGCCCCACTAAAGCACCTGGATCTATATAGATGTTGGGTGAGCCAAGCTCAACTAACGCAATGCCTCTTCTGGGCATGTGCTGGGCTCGGTGGGGGTGTGTGCTGAGTTTAAAGCACCTTTTTTTTTTAATGTTTGTAAGCAGCAGAAGCAGGCTCCCAACTCCAGCCAGATGTCAGAAGCCAAATTCTCTTTGACAGGTTGGCCCTAACCCAGCACAGGGAGCACCCAGCTTAGGACATTCATCTGCAGCTTGGAGATGCCCTTGGATTTCTCTCTGCACTCAGATACCCAAAGATCCACAGCAACACAGAGTCCTGCCTTGCTCTCTGTGTCTGCTCAGAGGATGATGTCAGATGCTACCAGACGCGGACAGGGCCACGGGACACAGCGCCACCTGTGACAGCCAAACTAGGCTCTTGCCCCTTTCTCTCACTGGGAATGAAACCCTTAGCTTGGAGGTGAATGGGACCAATAGGAGAAGAACACAGATCCCACCCCAGGCCTTTCCTTTCCCCTTATTCTTGTTTTCTCACCTCTTCTTGTTATCTAGTCACATCTCTGGACCCCTGCTCCTGGTCCTGCCCCTCATCATCTTCCATCCATCCTCTCCCTGATTGTCTCTGTCATTCACAGTCACATACAGTATCTCATTCCTCCCTCTTTTCAGTTCTCCTTCATCCCCAAGTCACCTTATTTTGAACTCTCTGCTTCTTTCCCCGGCAGGAGGCGAAACAGCGGTCCCAATGACCGCCAACTCATGGTGGAGGTGATATCTTTTATGAAATACCTGGATACCTGACCCAAGAATATTAGGAAGTTTCTCACCACTGTGAGATGCGATCACTGGAGTCATCATCAGTGTCTAACCCTCAGTGACTCAAAGCCTTTGTAGGTGGGCCAACACCTACATGATTCACAAGATAACCCCCAAACTTGCAAGTAGGCATCCCTAATATCAAAACAATCGAGACCTGTTGTGGGCTTTCTGAGTTCTTTGCAACAAAAGAATTGCTCTAGTGTTTTTTTGTAGCTGAGACATGAGTGAAAGCTAAGAGCCTCTTTTCTTCACTACAGTAGAGTCTCCCTTACTTACCTTTGGCTTCCCCCCCATTTTCTCCCCCTCCCTTCTCTTTTGTACCTTTTGTTTTCCTAATATCCACCTATTTACATTCTTACTGACATCCTGTCCCACTTTTATCTTCTTTCATTCCTTGGAGTCTCAAAACAGCAGGCTTCCTATGCCTGAAGAAGGGTGATTGCACCCAAAAGCTTGCAAAAAACTTTTTTCAACTCCTCAGCTGGTCTAATAAAAGATATCACATCTACCCAAAGAACCTGGCCTGCCTCTGTCCTTAGACCAACACGGCTACAACAAAAACCCACCTAAGAGCTGGCATTTTCCAAGCAGTGTCGCAAGTCTAAAAAGTTGGAGAATCACTGTTGTAAGCTCTCAGAGGCATAGCAAGATTCATCATTATATCATGCTTCTGCTTAATCCTTGGTGCTTAAAGTCCCAGGCCCTGGAGTCCCGTGGTTATGGGGAAATCTGTTTGGAGTTGTTAAAAAAAATAGCCTTCTCTGTTGCGGAAGGAAGAGAAATGTCTGCTGAAAGGCTCCCAGAGCAGAGAAGAGAACTGCTCTGGTTACTGTTTTTTTTAAGGCTCTTGTGATTTTTGAGCCATTCTTGTGATTTTCCTGTGGCCTAACTCGTGACCACTGAAGGCTTGCTGCTGGCAGGCTGCAGTAACATCAGTCACCCCCAGCTCCCTGCTGCCATGCACGTGATAGAGGGAGGGAGAAGATGCTCCCTCCCTCTGCCTCTCTCATTCCTTCCATCATGAGGTGAGCAGGGGAGCACAGCAGGCAGAGGCTGCAGCTGCAAGGCCTCTGGGCAGCCCCAGGTCCCTTGCTGCCCTCTCCCAGCCAGACCTGGAGAAGCTGGTATGAACCAGGATCTCTGCTCTTTCTTCGGAGCAGCTCGTGGCAAGATGTTTCGCCATCCTAGCTGGTGTTGCAGCTCGGGTTGGTATTGAAGGACACAGGAAGGGGCTGGATCAGCTGAGAGGTTCTGGCTGGATGCTGGGAGGAGGGGAGGCAGGAAAGGGGTTGAATAAAGAACCAAGGGACCAGAGACTGAGCATCTCCTGGCAGTGACGGAGGGGGCACAGGAGGCAATATTGCCTGCCCTACAATCCAGGAGCCCAGGCTGAGCAGCTGCTTCACCCCCGGCACAGGCTGCACCGAGAAGAGACCTTTATTAGAGGGGGGACTTCCTCTGGCGGCTGCAATCAGCCCCCAGGGTAGCCCGGGACACCAGCTCCTGACCCGGAGACTCCAGGTAATGGAGAGAGACCTGGGGGAAGTGCTGGGGCAGGCAGGGCAGGGGTCTGCACACACCGCCCCTCTGCACCCATCTCTGCTTCCCGGGACACACACACTCTCTCTCACTCTTTAGAGCAGTACACACTCACACACTCTCACTCCCAAAAGTAGTACTTTCTCTCTCTCTTTCTCTCTCCCAGAAGCAGTACACACACACACACACACACACACTCTCAGTCTTACTCCCAGGAGCAGTACACATACACACACACACACACACACACACACACACACAGTCTTACTCCCAGGAGCAGTACACACACACACACACACATGCACACTCTGTCTCACTCCCTGGAGCAGTATACACACGCACGCATGCACGCACACTTATTCTTACTCCCCAGAGCATATATATACACACACACTCACTCCCAAGAGCAGCGCACACACACTCTCTCTCTCTCTCTGACTCCCAGGAGCAGTAGTGCTGTTAGGAGCTGATCCAGCTGCAGGAAGACTAATGCTAGGAGAGGGACAGTGACACTATGTCCCAGACCAAGGGAGAGAAGACAGAAAGAGAGAGCCAGGCTGGACGGGGCAGCAGGAGCAGGCAGTGGGGAGGGAGTTGACCAGCTCCAGCCTGGTCCAGGCCCCTTCCCTGCAGCCACTCTGGGCAGAGTCACTGTCCTGTGACCAAGGTAAGGAGTAGAGAGGAAAAGCAGGTCCCTGCCCCTGTTTGTGTTGCTGAGGGGATGGGCAGTCCTTGGGGACAGTGTCTGGGGAACCCACAGGGCAGCTCCTTGGATCCTGTTGATTTCTAGTGCTTGGGCGAGTGTTGCGGGGAGGGTTTGCAGATGTCTGTGAGTTCAGGTCGTGGTAGGAAGGGCTGGGGCCATGCTGCAATAAAGTGACCAAGCGTTTTTCTAGCCAGGCAGAGTCTAGCAGATCTGTCTGCAGAGGAGAGCAAGCTGTGGAAATCAATTCTTGCAATGGATGCCGTTGTCTTTTGCTTGACAGCTCGACGAGCGCTGGTAGCTATTGATGTCCAAGCTTCTTGCCAGCTCTGCATTTTCCATTGACATCAGAGGAATCACAGCTCTTCCTCTGGAGCGGGATCTCAAAGGGCAGCGGGAAAATAGCTTGGAGCCCATTTTCAGCCCCCTGTTCCCTGTCATCCCTCTCTCTCTTGACAGGCAACAGAATAACAGCTGTGTTCGAGCCCAGATCATCCCATCCTTGTGGCAGACGGGGAAGGGAAATGGCTGCAGCAGGTTCAGCTCAGGTGAGCGATGGGCAGGGGTTATCCTGGAGGGGCAGGAAGCGCACAGGGCTAGGCATGGGACAGTGAGGTTAGAAGCTGCGGGAATGCTTGTATTAAGCAGGGCCTGGTTTACCTGGTCAGCCCTATGGGTGGATGGGCAGGGGAGTACCCTGCAGCGCGCAATGTCACCCAATAGTCTGATTCAGCTCTTTCTGATTCAGCCTGTCTCAGCATGCAAATATTTCTCCCTTCAATCCAGGCTCTAACCTACCAAGGGAGCTCAGTTAGTGTTGTTACCTCCATTGCACATTGGGGCATGCCCTAAGCACTAGACAACACCCTGTCCAATGATAGCCTGGTCAAATGGCATGCTGAACATAGCACAGTCTGCCCTTACATGGCTATAAACAAGCAGCGGACACACATTTATTGCCCTACACCAGTATAATTCAGCAGAATCTGGTGTAGAGACACCACAGGAAAAATCAGGGTTAAAACTACAGGTATGTAAACTACTAAGGTGCAAGGTAGGGACAATATACTGTAATAGTTCCTACTACAGACATTTTGCCAGAAGAGCTAGTTGTCTGCCAACTTCTGACACTGGTGTGACTTACATCTGTGTACCAAAGGTGGTGTGATGCCTGTGAAGTGTTTTCTACAGCTGCTATTTCATAATCTAGTAGCAGCCTTCAACCCCCTGAAGGGTGGCTCCAAAGGAGTGGGACTGTTCTCAGTGGTGGCAGATGACAGAACAAGGAGCAATGGTCTCCAGCTGCAGTAAGGGAAGTTTAGGTTAGATATTAGGAAGAATTTTCTCACTTGGAGGGTAGTAAAACACTGGAACAGGTTACCTAGAGAGGTTGTGGACGCTCCATTCTTGGAGGTTTTTAAGACCCGGCTAGACAAAGCCTTGGCTGGGATGCTCTAGTTGGGGATGAGCCTGCTTTGAGCAGGGGCTTGAACTAGATGACCTCCTTCCAACCCTAATTTCTATGATTCTATGATCTGACCATTCTGGTGTTGCAAGAGTAGCGGCAAGAGCAGAGCACATCCTGGGGCAACATCATCAAATAAGGCAGGGGGATGGGGAATGTGAATCTAACTGGGGGGCAGTGGGAGCTGTAAGGACGTTGTGCATCAGGGAATAGAGAAGAGACACCAGTATGGGTCCCTTGGGCCTGAGTTGGTGGGACTGAGGCTGGTGCAGCAGGTGTTGAGCAGGGAATATTTGTTGTTACAGGGTCCAGTGACCTTCAGGGAGGTGGCCCTGTATTTCACTGATCCCAGTCAGAGAGCTCTCTACAGGGAAGCCATGCAGGAGAACCATGAGAGCGGCTCCCTTCCGGGTAAGGACCTGCTTGCCATTGCTCATGACAAACTGCTCCGCCTCTGACAGGCTCAGGGAATGGCTGCAGCTCAGGGATGCTAAGAGGGACCAGAGATTTCTGGACTGAACCAGAGCCCACGTGAGAGACAGTCCTCTCCTCCCACAGGATAAGATTGGAGAGATGTGGAAACGGATTAGTCCTATTCCTGCCTCCATGCTCAGGGCTTCTCAAGGGGCAGAGAGGAATTTCCCAAGGGTCCCCAAGAGTGTTTCCCATCCACTCAGGCAGCTGGACCCTATTTCCCCAGCCATTCATGTAACCCGGACCTAGGATGCTGTAACCTCACTTCTGTTCTGTCTCAGGAACAGGCTCTCCGGTTCCCCAGCCAGAGGCAGTCTCCCAGCTGAAATTAGAAGAAAACCCATGGGTCCAGGACCTCCAGGGCTGTGAGGTGAGGGAGATCCCCAGCAGTGCCTGCACAGGTGAGGCATTGGTTAGACTGGCACAGAACCCACCACCCAGTGCAGGAACTGGCTGGGGCCACTACGAATGCCACGTCTGCACTCCCGGTTCTGCCTCGTCTCCTCCCCCGGGCTAGGATTGTCCCAGCAGGTGTCCTAGACTCCCAGCAGAGGTTGCTCATGGCTCAGGCTATGGTCACCTTACGGTCAATATAATGGTAGGGGCATGGGGAAAAAAAATCCATATTCACTGGAAAGTTGCCAAGTGCACGTATTAGATGCTTACTATGACCAAGCAGCCCTCAATGGGGGAGCACGGCCTCCTGGGAGCTTTGAGGGGAAGGCTCATGCCCCTTATCCTCCCCAGAGGCCAATGTCCCTGGCTGAACTGCTGCTCCCAGGACCTCCTCATTGAGCAGTCAAGTGCTTCATGAGCATCAGGGAGCTTTTTCCAATTCATTGTCTCTGTGACAAAACTGTAACCTGACTTGCAGCTTCTTCACTGGTGCCTGGCAAGGACTCCCCCACCCCAGTCACCTGCCTTCACCTGAGGGTGGGGAATGGAGGCAGAATCGGTCCTTTCCCCATCTCACCTGTCCAGAAAGGACTCTGAGGAAGGAGTCCCTGCTCCCAGCTGTTTCCAATGGTGACTTGGTTCATGGCACTAGATTGCAATGCCCCCCAGCCAGGTTTCATTCCTTGCCCTGCCATGACCCCCTCCTTCTGCAAGGCAAGGGGTGACTCCTGTCCTCTCTCTGTCCCAGCAGATGAGGGGACAGTGAGCAAGAATGAAGATGAGGGCCCTGAGCATGCAGAGCCAGACAAGCTGTTGTCGGGAAGCTCCAAAGGGGACATTTCCCAGTGCCTTGAGGAGGATCAGGCTCGCGAGAGTCCTCGGGGGGAAAACCAGGCCTGCCTAAGGGAGTCTTTCTTGACGTCTCGCACTGAGGCCCTAACCCACAAGAGCCTGCGCCCCCGGGAGAGGCCCAGCCCCTGCCAGGACTGTGGGAAGAGTTTCCAGCAGCGGGTCAACCTCTTGGCCCACCAGCGCAGCCACACGGGCAAGAGGGCTCACCCATGCCCAGATTGCGGGCGGCGCTTTGGGGCCTTCTCCAATCTCCTGCGGCACCAACGGGCACACGTGGGCGAGAAGCCCTACCAGTGCCCTGACTGCGGGAAGGGCTTTGGGCACAGCTCAGCCCTGGTGACCCACCGGCGCATCCACACAGGGGAGAAGCCCTACCGCTGCCCCGACTGCGGCAAGCGCTTCAACGTGGTCTCCAATCTGGTCCGCCACCAGCGGAGCCACACAGGGGAGAAGCCCTACACGTGCCCCGACTGTGGGCGGCGCTGCAGCCAGCGTTCCCACCTTGTCACCCACCGGCGGCTGCACACAGGCGAGCGCCCCTATGCCTGCCGGGACTGCGGCAAGAGCTTCAATGTCAGTTCCGACCTCATCAAGCACCGGCGCACCCACACTGGGGAGCGCCCCTATGCATGTGGGGACTGCGGCCGGCGCTTTAGCGGCAGCTCCAACCTCATCACTCACCAGCGCCTGCACACGGGCGAGCGCCCCTATGTGTGCCCCGACTGTGGCAAGGGCTTCACCATCAGCTCCAAGCTCATTGCCCACCAGCGCACGCACACTGGAGAGCGCCCCTACGCATGCACAGACTGCGGCCGGGGCTTCAGCGACCGGCCCCACCTGGTGCGGCACCAGAGCACCGCCCGCCGGGAGAAGCGCTACACATGCTCAGACTGCGGGAAGGGCTTCACCACCAGCTCCTACCTGCTCACCCACCAGCGCAGTCACACGGGTGAGACGCCCTTCATTTGTGGGGACTGTGGGAAGAGCTTCGCTGTGGTCTCTAACCTGGTGCGGCACCGGCGAGTCCACACGGGGGAGAAACCCTTCCGGTGCGGGGAATGTGGGCGGCAGTACAGCCAGCGGGCTCACCTTACCACCCACCAGCGCGTCCATACCGGCGAGCGCCCCTACGTCTGCCTGGACTGCGGGAAGGGCTTCAATGTCAACTCCTCCCTCACTAAGCACCGGCGTGTCCACACCGGAGAGAAGCCTTATGTCTGCCCAGACTGTGGCAAGCGCTTCAGCCAGAGCTCCAATGTCATCACCCACCGCCGCCTGCACCATGGGGAGGACACCCAGCATGCCCTGGACCAGACCCGGCAGCAGGAGTGAGGCCCAGGCAGAGCCAGGAGAAGAATGAATCCTGTTCCAGAGGTTTGCATCTGTTCAGGATGGCGCAGGAACAAGGGAAAGGATTTCACTTGGCCAGCGCTAGTTTTGGTGCCAAAGTCTAGAATTCTTGACTCTGCAGGGAGCTGGTCAGCTGCAGATGCATCTGTTTAGGCTCCCCTGCCTCCTGGTAATCAGAGAGAGAGAGAGCGAGAGAGAGAGATTGCCCTCACTGCCACCACCGCCACCAGTGCTTCCATCCCCCTGGAGTTACGACTGCCCATTCCTCATGGCGCCCACCTTATCCCTCCCCTCCTGCTGGGGGAACAAAGAGCTCCATGCTCCTCCCCTCCAGACATGTTTCTGCAATCACTTTTGCTCCCCAACTTCTTGCCACGTCTGGGTCACTTCCCATCACGTTAATAAAACTCCTGCCCCCCACAGGCAACTTTTGCTTGCTTGCAAACCGCCGGCAGCCTTGGACTGGGGTTGTGCACAGATGAGAGCAAGGGGCCCTTGCAGCAGGCCTAAGGGCCAAGTCAGATGTGTTCAGGGGATGAAGAGTATGGGGTGGCATTTTGGGGAGGCAGGAGGGGCCTAATGAAAGAGGCAGGAAGGAGCACAAGACAGGAGCCTTCAGTGGTGCAAACGACCTGAGTTGTATAGGAGGGATTGTGGCTGCCTTAAAAGCCCTTGCTCTCCCCATCTGTACTTCTCAGGTTCCCCTTTTTAATGACAAGAAAACTGAGGTACAGAGGGGTGAAGTGACTTGCCCAAGATCACCCAGCCAGGCAGTGGCAGAGTCAGGACTAGAGCAAAGTTCTCCTGAGCCCCCAATCCAGGGTGCTTCCTGCTGGATTTTCCTGCCTTGCCTTACAGGTTCTGTGTTACTGCTTCCCACCCCAACACACCTGGGCTGGATCCTTCCTGGTTTTAACCCTTGGGGGAATACTGTAGTTCCTGTGAACAAGCATTTGAAAGTTTTAACTGAACTCTTTTTGCTGGTGGGATCAACCCCTCTTCTTCCCATTCCCTCCTGAGCAATCGACCTTGCTAACACAGATGTTCACAGAAGCTGCTTCCTGACTCATCTGTGATGCCTATTTGAGGAAACCAAGTTTTTGACCCTCTGGTGTGATTATTCATGCCAGAAGCCATGACCCACTTACCCTGCTGGGGGTCAGAGAGGCCACATGATTGTTCCCAGTGCATCAGTGCTTCAAAGCAGTGCCAGGGTGTGTGCATCATCTGAAGAGTTAAATATGTGGAATCAGAGATTCACTGAGCCCTTGGGAATCGAGCATGGTCTTAATGGAGCCAGAAGGGGTGGGTAGGGGAGGAAGGGCCATGTGCTGCTTGCAGGTGATTGGAAAGATTGGAGGCTGAGGGAGAGGACGACTCGGAGCTTTCCTTGGGCTGTTTAGCACGTGGGTTGGACCATGCCACAGTAGCATAGGGGCGTGATGTGAAGGCCCTGTGCCTCTTATAAAAAGATGCCTCCCCTCCAGTTTTCCTGCCTCCACTGGGTCACACAGCAAAGAACTGGGAAGTACTTGTAGGTCCCTGAGCTCCCCGTTCCCTTTGCCATTCAGGCTGCCTAAGTGTAAGTGCCAGGCATGTTGCTAAAGAGGGACCTGCCAGCCACATTGTAAAACAGGACCACATCCATCTCATAGTTCAGGAAGACAGCCCCAGACTGGGTCTCTCACCCACGGGGAGGTTGTGGCGATAGGGAAGGCTTCATATCCATCTCAGTTAATGTTTCACCAACCAGTGTCTATTTTTGTGGGGTTGCTCATTCCCCAGAACAGATTACCTACAAATAAAGAGACCAATCATCCCAAATCATTGGGTCCTATTCTGGTGTCCCTGGAGATCCTGAAACAAGAGTTTTATCCTGATTTGGACAAAGCGCTCTCCTTGCCTAAATGCCCCCTGCTGAGACCCTGCACTGCTTTGCACACCTTAAAAAGCTCTGGTAGTGTTAATTTGCTATACCAGATGCAGCATGGCTATGTTTACATGACACTGCACCTTGGCTAATTCGCCTTTCCTACAGCTCTGCACTAGGGTGCTGAAACTGGGAGAAGTTAGACTACCAGAGGCCTGCAGTAAGTCTGGGATCCGTGCAACTGGATTTTGGTTCTCCATAGTTGCTTGCTTTACCTATGTAAACCCATCCTGTCTCCTACCTCCTCCGTGTAGCACTGCCTGCCTGAGAATCCATCACCCAGGCTGATGCCTGAATTACCAAACTGTTTGGACTGGCTAGGCAGATCCTCCCTCTGGTGCTTTTCCAGTTGACAGACTTGGGCTACTCATAACAAAGTTATGTTAGCTCAAGCTAGAAACAGAGTTATTGAATGAAGTGGATCAGCTATGCTGCTTCATTGGAAAATTACACATTGCCCCTTGTCCCACACACCCTTAACAGAGTGGGACAAGTACAGATTTGATTCTCCTGCTTTCCCCGCTCAACCAGACCTGCTCCCCCATGATCATGGGGGACAGGTCTGGCTGAGCAGGAAACCCCGACTTCCCTGCTTATCAAGAGATAGAGGGATGCCCCAGGGAATCTCAGGGTAAGTGGGGAAAGCGGGCAGTTGTTCCAGGGACTTGAGAGGCCCAAAGGCCCCCGCGCACCTGCCTGGGGTGGCTGGAGAACAGGAGCTAATAGAGCTAACCGCAGTGCTAATAGAGGTCTGCTCCAATAAAGTTGCAATCTATTACTGCCTTTTGTTGTGCCACTGACTTTCCTTTGTCGTGGCACTTCAGGGTAGTGACATTGATTTGTTTACAATTTGTACCACCATAAAAAATGTATGTGGTGGAACAAATGAGACATCCGGCAGTGTCTGTTTCCACCCGCAGAGCAAGAAAAAAACCCACCCACCTCCAAGTGGTGTGGCTTTGTCAAACTTCCTCCTTTGTGACCAGAGCAGAGCAAATATTGCCGAGGTAAGAGATTCAGGGCTGGGGCATCCCTCTGAATTGCAGAACATGCAGCCCTGCCAGGGGTGTCTGAGGCTCTCTCTCCCTCCCCACACACAGTCTTCTACCCAGGCTGTGTGAGGAGCTGGGGCTCTGGGGAACTGACCGGCATCCAGGTCCTCCAAGGACAGCACTTTAGGAGAGCACAAATTCTAGGATCTGCAGGATGCTCGGCCCCGATTTCCAGTTGCTGCTGTAGGTGCAGTAACATATAGGCTGGCCAACGAAGCCAGTATCCAGGTTAAACTATAGCTTGTCAGTATAGTGATCTCACCTGTAGGTGGGTGGGGATCTTTTCACTCTTTAGCCAACAGAGCTACACCAGAAAAAGTTTGTGGCATAGATCTGACATGACAGGCTTGATCTCATCTTCATGGACACGTTCCCTGAAATGCTGCAGACTGTCTCCTGCCTGGACTGACCCTTCCTAACATCCCCAGGAGCCTCTCCATCTCTGCAGCCCTCACACGGTCCCCTCCAACCCCCTTTGTCCCTTTCCTCTTTGAAGTCCTAGTTCTTCCCCACCCAGCTATGTCCACACCCAGTTCTACATACCATTGGACTCTGGCCCGCTTCTTCGGTGGGCAGCTTGGGATCACAGCATTCAATCCTACTCCCTCCCTACTGCCTCCCAACTGTTTTCTGTCATGTAATCGCAAGTACCAGGACCACGCTTTCTTCCTAGACCTCTCACACCAACATCATTGGTAGCAGCATCAATTCTGGAGTCTCATGATCAGGCTCCTGCTGTGGGATGTTTTTATTATAATTTTCATGAAACCTTGTGGAGGGAATAAAAACGAACAAAAGATGAACAGCTAGAAGAGAAACAGTGATGGGCTATGGATAGATTCCCAAATACCTACTGTAAGCCCTGACCACCAGCCCCTCAGATGCCTTAAGGACAGGAGGGAGCCTGTGATACCAAACTTTCATGCACAACATGAAGGTCACTAACATGCCGAGAGGGTCCACTGGCTTGGAAACAACCAGCTGGAGATTCTGCTCTTTGATTTTAATTGTCATCCTGCCACCGGCTGGGGAAATAACATGCCATGGCCCCTGTCGGGATTCTGTGCCAGGGTGGGGTGGGTCTGTAAGAAAGGAGCTGTCCCTCTTCTGATCCACTGCAAGGATTAACATTTCTAGTCACATCTTACCTGCAGACCGCATCTCTATTTCTCTCTCTTTTTTTTTTCTGAGTGGATGAAATGGAAATAATTAGTTTTTAATAAAAAAATTGTATCTTTTGTTTTAATACAAAGATGAGGCATAAGTAAAACACCTACAAATATAAAAGAAATAGACACATATAAGACTACAGGTAAAATATTACAAAACAGTAAATTAACAGCTTTTCAATGTGAAAACTGTGGGTGATCCATCTTCTGTACAAGAATATCAATGTCAACTGACTCCTCAGTTAAGGCCAGTCGAAGCAAGTGACCAAGGGATTCATCTGTAAGTGAACATCGGTACTGGGATTTTATCAGCTTCATTGTAGACAAGGCATTTTCACATAGGTATGTACTGCCAAAAATCGATACGATCTTTAAACCAAGGTCCCTTAAATGGGGGAAACGATTCTTTGCCACGAGTTTAAAGAAGTCCTGCCCTATTTCTTGCCTGCTACCTAGGAAAGGGTCGGCCTGTAGATCACACAGCTCAAGTTGTATGTTGGAAGACTGATTTTCAACTGGGGCTCTAAGTGGGTTGTTGAAAAGGATTAGTTCATTTTTTAGTAACTCAAATTCAATAAAGCGATTGTCAAATTCCTTCACCATCGCGTCTACATTGGATGAGAATTCTGAAAAGCTTATGCAGTCGAAATTTTCCATTTCTTTTACCAATTCCTTGCAAGATGGGAAATGTGTAAGATCACCCTTTTCAATAGCAGCCTTAAACAGCTTAAGTTTACTACGAAACCCATTCACACATCCAAAAAGGTCTGATATTGTATGATTTTTACACTGCAATTTTAGATTCAATTCATTTAAGTGGGTAGTCATATCTGTCAAGAAGGCTAACTCAGACAGAAACTCAGGAGACAAAAGTCTCTCTTCAAGCTCTGTGGTGTCAGCTTTCACTTGCTCTCTTAGGAACACTGGAATTTCTTTTCTGAGAGCGAAAAACATTACAAGAACCTTACCAGCACTCAGCCAACGAATTTCTGAATGAAGAGGCAAATCTCCATACACAGACTGCATTTCTTCCAAAAATGAGCAGAATTTCCTTTGTAACAAAGACCTATTTCCACCACGAATGAGATTGGTAACCTTCATGACCACTTTCATAGCTTCAACTTGTTTCACCCATTTCTCACACAAAGATTCTTGGTGAATTATATAGTGAATCATGGGACACACAACACCAGACTTTTTCAGAAGACCTGATAATCCAGCTTTGGAACCAACCATAGCCCTAGCACCATTTGTGACAATACAGGTACATTTGTTAA